CACACACACACACACACACACGCACACACACACACACACGCACACACATACACACATACCCGGGCCAGTTCCCACCTGGCCCGGGTTTATTTTGGCTAGCACCAGGCTCAAAACCAGTTCAGGCTGAACTCAGCCTGTAGGAGCCTCGGCTGGATATACAACTCCTCCCACATCCAAGTCGGCCATTTTGATTAGGTCATGTGGCTAGCAGCTTCCTCAGGTGGAAACGAAACTTTACTGTCTATACGAAATCGGAGGAACAAAAATGTCCTGACCCTAATCCTGACCATAACCCTGACCCTAACCCTAACCCTAAACCTAACCCTAACCCTAAACCTAAACCTAACCTTGACCCTAACCCTATCCCTGACCTTAACCCTGACCCTAAACTTAACCCTGACCCTAACCCTAAACCTAACCCATACCTGACCCTAACCCTAAACCTAACCCTGACCCTAAACCTAATCCTGACGCTTACCCTAAACCTAAACCTAACCTTTAACCTAACCCTGATCCTAACCCTAACCCTAACCCTAACCCTGACCCTGACCCTAAACCTAACCCTGACCTTAAACCTAACCCTGACCCCTACATTTGGTTTAGAATTACCTCTGCAATGATCTGACTTCTCCTCATAAAGGAATAATTTCCTATCTGTATGTACACAGGACGTGTAAGTCCACGGAGGTTTCCATGGCGATGCGCCATTTTGAAACGCTATCATCACATAGAGGGACATAAAGCACTAGTCCACCTCTCTAGCTAATCCACAACGCTTTTTCCTTTAGAGCCAGAGTCACCTAACTAAAACTTCTTTTAAATTAATTAATTTTTTGATTAAATTGATTCATTTAGTTTTTTTAATTTTTTTATTGCAAACGTCATCATCCAGAGAAAATTCCATGATGTGGAAGTCATGTTGTCGTTGCTTCTTGATGCCTGACGGCTAGCGTAGCTGCAACAGCCGTTTTGTTAGGATTTAGAATAAAATTTCACCTTTTAGATGGAGGAATTCCTACACCGTGGACCTTTAATGGCTCATAAAATCTGCAAAATGAATTCAGAGTGACACATTTACAGATTTTGCCCAGACGTGTGATGTTTCCCCCCTCAGCATCGTCGTGACAACCGGTGTCTGTTTGCAGGCCAACATCATGTGCACCTCCAGCTGTAAGTGTGTAGGCTGTCGTAACTATGACGACAGCTCTCCACCGGCTCTCAAAGAGAAGACGGGACTAATCAGGGACAAGTGAGTCGACATGTATGGTAGAACAGAGTCCCACTCATCAATCCAGTTTCTCTGATGTTACCGCTTTACTCTGATTAGCTATTTGAAGAGTTTCCATAAGAGTCTGCAGGGTTACTAAAGAGTTGCATCAATAGCTGTTTAAAAATTGCTAGTATCATATATTTAATTCCCTCCTTTGCTAATCAAATACTCATATCTTCATATTTACCTTTTATCTCGGGGTGGGCTGTGCAAGGAGAATCTTGTTAAACTTTTTTTTACCAAAGTTTATCTTAGAAAAACCTCTGCATATGAATTTGTGGGTGTATAGCATTTTTAAAAAAAATCAAGTTTGTATGTGAGCCCTCTGAATCCATAAGAAAATCTCTCTTTTTTTTAAAAATCAAGTTGTTTTTTTTGTTTTTATTTCTTATTTATTTATTTTTTATTCTTATTTTTAAAAGAAATTAATAATAAAAAAAAACTAATAAAACAATACATGCGAGCCCTCTGAATCCATAAGCAAATCTCTTTTCTTTTTTTTTTTAAAATCAAGTTTGTACGTAAAGCCCTCTGAATCCATAACCAAACCTCCCTCCTCTGGTCCGGTTCTGAGCCCTTTGGTGTGTGTTTTTGCGCAGGTTCCCGGCCTCGGTCATCACCCCGGCGGTGCTGGAGGCTGCGTGCGGCTGCCTGCTGGCCCAGGCCGAGGAGGCCGAGCGCGAGGCCCACGCCCCGGCCGTGGCCGAGCAGCTCGTGCTGGACGAGTTCGGACACTGCCTCTCCCAGATAGTCAAGACCATGTTCAAGACCGGACCCTACTGAGACCCTCTGGGACTGCAGACACAGACTCAAAACGGCTGAGTTCAGAGGTCTGTTGGTGTACGTTTAAACCCGTTTAAAGAGGCGCAGCGTCCAGCTTTAGGAGATATAGTTCAAAAGGAAAGCAGACTTTATTTTTCAGATTTCTTTTTCTTTTCCTTTCCTTCTCATGAATGGTTTTGGCATCGTTGATCATTTTCATGTTCAGGACTTGTGTTGTTTAGCTGAGATTAAGTTGGTTTCCCGTTAGGAACCTGTTTACAGAAGATTTTACGTATTCACCAACCATCTTTTACCAGGTCTTTTCAGGCCAGTGAAAGTTAGGGGCGTGTCCACTGTTCGGTCAGCTGTTAGTCGGTAATGTTTGGGTTAAATGGGATGAAGATTCTTTTGACAGTTTTATTAAAAACTCACCCAACAACCACAAAGGCAGTGTGGAAAGCTTCCTCATTGAACCAGATGATGACTTTTTTAGTTCTGTTCCAAAATGCGCGGCTGCTGTAAAGTATGGAGGAAAAAAAGAGTTCATTGATATGTGAACACCTCAGAAGTCATCTAAAGCAGACATAATAACTCCAACTCCTCTTCTGTGAGGGAATACCAACCAGAAAACAGAGTTCCTCTGGTGGAAGCTGAAAAGAAAGGTGCTCCATCTTGGAAATCAGATTTATTTAACTCCAGTTCTAGAAAGTCTGAATCTGACTCATGAAGAACATACTCATTAGTAAAGTCCTCAAAGAATCCATGTCTATAAAAGACCAACAGAAACTACAATGCGATTTGATATTTTCCTCTACTTGATCTAATATAGGGTCAGATACAGTATGTCATGTTTATTATTTCGGGTATGATTAGCAAAGCCAAATGTTTTCTGCTGAAGGGAAAAGTCTTTATCTTAAAAATGGTGGAAACAGCCAGTGAAAGGCATAGAAACTAATGAGGTTAATATGTTACCGGTCAGGAACAAAACTGGGAATGACTCGGGAAGAAAAACAGGCTGACTCACACTATCTCTCTGTACCATAATATGCAAAGAGAAACTAGATATCTGTGGCTATTTTTCTTTATCAAAAGTCTAAACTTAATGCTAGTTTACTTTTACTGAAAATATATATATTTTTACACTCAAATATGACAGTTGTTATTAGAGCATTTTCAAATGTTCCGTTTCATTAAAAAAGTGAAAAAAGTTTAAAAAAAGAGTGAGGAATATTCTTATTTCTGATTAGGTTAATGATGTTAGGTGTCCTGGACAGAAAGGATTTCTCACGGCCTTTTTTATTTCCAAACTAAATTCTTCCAACAAAGAAAAGGCTGTTGGTGAAAAGAGGTGGTTTGTGTTCCTGATTTTGTGTTGTTGACTTACTTTCCTTTTATTTCTTGTAAAATTATAGGGAAATAATAGCCAAAAGTTCATTATAACTTTGATGCAAATTAAAAGTAAAATTAATGAGTCCCATCCGTATCCAACTGAAGCTGAGTTCTTCAATAACTGAAAAAAAGGCAAAGCTCCACACTGTGTAGTATCTTAAGTATTTTATTTGCTAAAATCATGTTCTTCATTTCTAAATGTTCCTCATTTGGTGTAAAATAACCTGACATGATCTGACTTCTCCTCATAAGGGAAGAATTTCCTATCTGTACATACACAGGACGGGTGAGTCCACGGAGGTTTCCATGGCGATCCGCCATTTTGAAAAACTATAATGGCAGAGAAGGACATAAAGCACTAGTCTGCCTGTCTAGCTAATTAACAACGCGTTTTCCTTCAGTCACGTGACTGAAACTTCTTTAAATTAATTAATTTTTTTAATGAATTAAATGGATTAATTTATTTTTTTCCGAAAAGAAATTAATGGGAGGAGCTCCAAAAATTACCAAATAAATTCTCATAATTACAAACAAGGATTCTGTACAAAGTGACAAATATTTTAACTACTTAAATATAAACAGAACATGTGAATTACAAAAAGTCAACTCAAATGGCCACAACAGGTGCACCCATGGGGGACCAGACCCACACACACATCCTCTCACACTTTCACACACACCTTCACACACACCCTCACACACACCCTCACACACACCCTCACACACCCTTACACACCCACACACACCCTCACACACACCCTCAAACCCTCACACACACCCTCACACACCCTCTCACACCCTCACACACACCTTCACACCCTCACATACTCTCACACCCTTACACACCCTCACACACACCCTCACACACAC